TAATGAAATATTTAGCAGTCATCAAAATATGTTGAGAGTTTTCTTAAATGAAGTCATCATTTGTCCCTTTTATGGCTTCTCTGCATGGATGTGTAAGGCTAAGCAAAAGCAGTTGGTTAATGGAGACAAATAAAACCTATAGCACAGTATCTGACTCACTGTTAAGGGTCACAGCTGATTGGTTTTGTTGAAATATTTCTATTTAATTTTTCAGATTTTTGCTAGAGGGATTAATTTCTTTTTGGTAAGACTACAGAATTAAGAGACTTGTGCTCAAATTTCCCATTTTTTAAATTCCCTTTTATCTATGTGGCATACTGATATTGAGGCTGAAATTAAGACAATGAACTTTTAAAGTGTTTTGTTTGATTCGAGGCAGTAACAGCTTTAAAAGGAATTGTGCATAACAATGTGGGAAATACTGCACTTTTCTAGTGGAAAAGGTACTGTGTATTAAACTCTTCTCACTGGTGTCCAAAGGAGAATGGTGTAACATTTAAGGAGGGAAAAATTGTATGCTTTTTAGTGTTTCAAACACCAGAACTGTGTTGTGGGTAGTACATTTTAGCAGAGGTACAAAGTGGATGTGACCTAAGAAGAATACTGCAGTTGGAAGGCTCAGTATATGCAACTGTTGTGTGTGGTTCCAGCCTTCCTTCTTTGTCTCAGCATGTGTGACTTCAAATTTGACTGCATTAAAATCTTGCTTTTTTTGTTGTTGTTGCAACTTGATTGCCAACCATTGCAGGTACTCGTGTTTCACCAGTGGAAAAATGCACATTTATTGTGCAGGGCACTGGTTAACCTCTGCACCCCATTGTGTGATTACTCTCTGATACACATGTGTGTCATATTTTATGCAGTGGCAAACCAAGGAAATGCTTATTGTTATCCCTTTGTGGCATCATTTGATTTTCCCTCTTTTTCAGAGCTCCCTCAGTGAGAAGGCAGATTCCCAGCTAATGGCCATGCCTTACACAGACACCAGCCTCAGGTAAGGCAGAACAGCTCCTTTGTTATTGCTTTCTACTTAATAACTTAATTTTTCACCAACAGTTGGCAGAAACTGCCAGTTTACACCTTGCCAGGATTCTTAAACCAATGCAGCTACTTTTCGTGGCCTGATTTCTGTCCCTGAACAAGTAACTGCTTCTAATGATTTAAATTTCACTTAAAGGGACCCCTGTATCACAGCTCCACTCTGCTGGGGTCTTTCTACCAGTGAGTCTTAAGAAAATCTTTACTTCACACTGCAGAATCCCTTTCTAAACAGATTTTAATATTTAGGGGGGGAAAAGGGGAGAATTGACTTGGGGCTGTCTGTGAGAACATCATTAGTTTATAAGAGGGTTTCAAAGGGCCATGAGTCTGGTAAGGCAAAGATTTCTCTCATTATCTTCAAGAGTAGAGTGATTATAGCTAGCACCAAATTATGATGATGGAGTTAAAGTACCATTGCATCTTACTTGCCTGGTTTGTCTCCATCTCCTGATTTTTCCCAGTTCATTATTGGAGCACACTGATCCAGAGTTGTCTGATGTCCCCTGACCACCCTTCCCCATAACTATCCTGTCCCTCTTCCCTGATTGCAGAAAGAATTGGAACGAAACTCTTAAGGAAACAAAATTTCTCTCTCCTGAATTCTCCGTTAACATTGTTTAAGAGTTTCTATGCTTTGAAGTGCCAAGGAAGAGTGTGAGAGCAGAATGGCACGTGAAAGTTTTTTGGGTTTTTTTTGTTGAGAACATCACCTGAAATGTTCCTGTTGAAAGTCAGACAGCTGTGACCCTTCCCTTTGCATTGCTTCTTTGAAAGCAGGATCAGCCTGGGGGAAAATAGCAAGCTGCAGGGAAATGTTACAGAAACCAGGCTGACAAATTTGCTATGTCTTGACATACAAGAAATTAAAAAAAAGGAAAATATTTTTGAGTTCTACAGGCAGATGAAGGATATCTGTTTTAATTGAACACTGACAAACAAGCCCCATGGCATAAGGCAGTTTAACATACATGCTTGCATTACTCTTGAAAAACATTATCTGGATTATTGGAAACAGTTTGCAACATCACGTAGCTCTGCATGGAATAATCTGTTGTGCTCACAAGGAAGTGAGATTTCTTTTTTCAGATTAATGATGTTTATATGAACAGGACCAGTGAGTCATGGCAGCTGCATGCTATGACTGTCCTGGAACTGCTAAGAACATAGAACAGACTTCCAGTTCCTCCCAGAGCCATTGGCTATTAGGTGCTCCATGAAATCATAAAAGCAGAGTAGTTTAGGTTGTAAAGGACCTGTGGAGGTATCTAGTCCAACCTCCTACTCAAAGTAGATTTAACTTAAGGTTTACTATTTGTCTCTGTTAGAAGAGGTGGTCTCCACCTTCATTGTAATTTCCCTCAAGAAACTAAGATTGAAATTACAGCCCCCTCAGCCTCCTTTGGACAGAGTAAGTCCAGTTCCCTCTGTCTCCATGTTCCAGTCTGACCATAGTGCAGCTCAGCATGCAGTTGTGCTGCAGATCCCTGCCAGCTGCCATTCAGCTTCCCTGCCAGCACCCCAGCTCCCTTCTGCAGCACTTGTGCCTCATCAGTTGGGAATAAACTGCTGTTTGTTCAGTCTTGTCATTGATACTACCCCTGTGCAGTATACTGTCAAGGCACTTAATTTTTAATACCAGTGCTGTGGCTGAAGATTGAGTGACCTTTCTCTCCTAGAACACCCTTGTTGGTGACCTGAGTCCATGAACAGGAGTACATTAGCAGGATCTAGATTTATCTTTGTTGCACTGATGATACCAACATTGTCATGTTGGTCCTGGATTCCAAAAGAAAATTAATGAATTGGAAAGAATTGCCAGGGAGTCAAATCAGTAGAGGAAGATAAAAATTAAGATGATTTCAAAGAAAATAATTAAAACCCTTTAGCTGTTTATAGTCTATGTAACTTCCTTCAGAGGTGGTTTTGTTGAGGGTTTCTGCAAGTGGTTTTCAAGGCTTCATATATCAAACTGAGACTTTCCAGTTATTTTCCTGTTTCTGAGTTTTGCACTATTAATATTGTGGTTCTTGATGCATAAAGCACTGTGTCCACAGCTTCATTGCTTCTCAGAACAAGCCTATGTGCAGCAGTTTGAACTTTTAAAACCAAAGCCTCATTTATCTCCAAAGAAGTGGCCAGGCTCAGCACCACTGGGTTGGCTACACAATTTAGTATGATGCTTTTTTGTAACGTGCAAAGGTGTTACTAAAACTACTGATAGTTTTGCACCTGGTTTTGCCTCTGAAGTTCTTCTGTTCCTTTCATGGAGCAGTCCATTGTGGTTACCCATAGACACTCAAAGGTAGATGCAATGTAATGCCTGTAATCCCTTGGCATCACCTGGAATTTGGGACTAGTGTTAGATTTGCTCCATGACCAGGAGAGTTTGATCAAGACCCAGTGGTTTCCAAGTTCTTTGGAACACTTTTCTCCCAAGGCTGGATTTAGGCTGGTTTTTAGGTCTAGCTGTATCTTCTGGAGTGTGGGCGAGCAAACGGATCTGTGGGACCCGTTTCAGCTTTCAGGATGTGTTTTACTGTGCAGTGCGTGGGTGTGATGCCTTTTATCTCAGCAAAACCTCACTGCTGAATCTCAGGGGTGGCTTGGTGGGCCTACGTGTTTTCGTGAATGAGTAATCAAGCTCAAATTAGCTCCAGTCTTTGTTTCCTGTGTGTGAAGGATGGGATCTGATTCCTCACTTGCATAGTTTTGCTGAAGAGGATATACAGTGGAGAGTTGCCTGCTCTCAATCCCCCAGGATTTACACCCCCAATCCTGTTAAAGGGCAACTGGCTTGGCAGCTGCAGTCCTTCAGTTGCAACAGGACTATGTTAGCAGTAGAAGAGAAGATAATGACAGTCTACTTCTACTGCTGCTTGAGAAAATCACTTGATGATAGATTTGTGCCTTGGTTTGGGTGCATAGTTATGTTTTAGAAATATGCTAAAATAATCTAAATTAGCCAGCTTAGTTTAAAACCTGGGTCAGCAGAAGACAGTTTGGGAGGGGAGGGATTGCCTGATCAGTGTCCTTTGCCACAAGCCCTGCAAACACAGTGTGCTATTAAAGTGGGGGAGAATTCAAATGACTGGTTGAAGGTCCAGCTAATGGTTTGTCTAAGTAGAGCTTTGCAATTTGATTAAATATGTTATTTTGGAATGGGATTGGGGATACATGATAGCAGTACATCCTAGGAATTTCTCACCTTTCCAAGATAAACAGTGGATAAGTACTATGATTGTAGTACTTGCCAGTGTTTTTGCTTAGAATGGTTTAGAGCATCTTTTCCTTGTGTCTGATATACGTATGATGAGAGCTGTAAAAAAGATAAACCAGAATTATGTGAATATTTTACTTTGGCTCCACTGTCTAAACTGAAAATCAAGAGCAAATCATTGAGTTGACTAAGGACACAGGGGGGGAAAAAAAAACAAAGGTGGGTGAGAGAGAAGGTGAAGTTGTCATTTGACGGTAAATTAAAAGCTCTGTTTATGCTTAACTTTGCACTTCTTTCCACTTCTAGTGGTTTGGATTCTGAGCAGTAAAATAAAATTATTACATTATTAAATGTTTTGATATTTTATTTCAGAATGACATTTAATGCTAAAATTTGCTAAAATTTATTTTCAGAAGTCATCACAATTTTTCAGACACTTTAGGTTGAAACTTTCTTTTTCCTGTTGAGCTAGCAAGTGAGTTTTGCCAGCCTCAGAAGCATGAACAAAAACAAGCCTGGAAAACTTTCCCACAGTAAGACCTTTAGAGCACCTTGAACTTTCAGAAAGTTCTGAGTAGTTTCACTGTCTTCACCTGTATTTAATGTTCCTCATGCTTCTCTCAATGGCTGAAGAGCTTCTGTTTCTTTGAAAAGCAGGTTTTTAAAGTCATTGTCTTACTGAAGGTAACTTTCCTGTCTAAAATAATTATCTTTCCCCCTTC